GACTCTCACGGCTGCGTTTGTGATCCAAAAAGCTGCCTCTAAAAAGTATACTTTCAATTCATTTCGAAAATTCAAACCGACTTTCACCAAGTTTAATCTTTTGTCCTCTATGGACTATTGTGTAGATACAGCCGGTATACACACCTCGCTTTTGTCACGAGAGCAAATTTGTTCTCTTGCTTTCATTCAAAACGCTTTTGTTTTCATATGTTACTCTGCCTATATCTAAGCCGCAAAAGACATTTATGAGGGCTAAAAGTCGATTGCTAGGTGACTTCTTATAATGTCAGCAATTTCGCGCCAAGCGCTTGAGCTTTTTGCATGGTCAAAAACACACCCTTGGAGTTATAGTGCTTTGCGTTTATCGCAAAATCGCGAGAACCGCTACATTTGTGTTTTTTTTGTTTTTTCAAGGGGATTTTTACGAGAAGTGTAAGTTCAATCAAACAATTTGCCAGGTAGATATTAATGGCGAAAAGCTGCCCATAATCTTGTGCTTAATTAAAGCACACAATTGAATAGCACGCCACGTCTATAGACGACTTTCACCCAAGCGAGGGGAAAAAAGTAAACAAAAATTCCCTGAAAAGGTCCTAAAAGAAGTCGTAACTGAAAACAACCTTTTGCATAAAAATAGTCTTTATAATAATAGGCGATGTTTATAGTTTTATTTTCATGAATATTGCAGTTTTTAATCACGCGATCTCTTCAGTTTTCCTTACCACTGGTTGTTGAGGATTTCGCTTTTTTTGTTGAAAACGCCACGTTTAAGAGCATGACGCTGAAACGAGTCTGCTTCGAGTGCCACGTGTCCACTTCCCGAACGTAAACTGAGCTGACAACGTGTTAACCGTAGCGTGAAACTGTAAAAATAAGCCAGCGTTGAATAAATAACCATATCCCCTTCTTATTGCCCGAACTTTCATTGTTTTTCAGCCGGTCCAGGGCGGGTGGCTTGCATCGCTAATAGACATCTATTTGCATAACAAGGGAAAAATTGAAAATTTTGATTTCAGGTTGTTCAAGACATAAGACCGGCTTGTGGTGAACTTATCCAACTAGACACGAGGGAGGAAAAACTTCAACGCGAATTGTGGACCTCAAAAAGGGTGGGTGACGTCCTTATTTCCTGTTTCTTCTTGCCATCGAGGCATATTTTTAAAGTGATCGCTTATTTTATAGCAGGAGAATCTGAATTAATTACTCGTAGCAATTTCAGGGTGAACTTGGCCTTACCAAGTTATCATGATTTTACGGCGTTTCATTTTTTAGGTTAAATAGAAGTTCTCTGTTATCGTCCTCTTTCTAGCCAGTTTATTTTCAATCGAGTGAGAGTCGACCAGTTAATGGCAGATTTAAAAATAAACGTCGATTTCTATGCATTCGAGTTGTTACAAGCCTCACTCTTCAAATAAGAATTCACTGTGGCCGAAATTAGACGATCATTTGCGTAGGAGTTAAACTACTGAATTTTTTTTTTAGAATTTCTGTCCGGTTTGGAAATTAATTTTCATTTCTGTCGATTATCAAGATGGGGCAGACGTTCCGTGTAAAGCTAAGGGATTAAACCAAAACAACCGGCCTTATTTAACCATTTATTTCGCTTGAATGTTTGCCGGACCTTACAATGTCGGTCCATTTTGTCAAGGGTACTACTTGTTTCCAAAGCAGATGCTATTAAATAGGAAAGGATCAGGTGTGAGCTAATTTTAAAATACAGTGCGCCTCAAAAAGTCATGTTCTCTCGGAGCGGTGATGAACGCGCGCGTGGAGAGAATCCGGGTTCAAACACGAACTCGCGAGAACATTAATTAACAACGTTATGTGGTCGCTGTTTGTTGTGTACACAGCTATCACGAAATGTTCCTCGTCGGAACGTTTTCCCTGAAAGAAATGTAAATTTACGAAATATGTTTCTTGCGTTGTGATCTAGGCTTTTATTAAGGGCAGCTGTTTAAATACACCATGTCAGGAATCCCGTCGTTTTGTGACTTTTGTAAGTTTAACACAAGCCAGGGTAATTGAATGACGTCAGCAAGGCGTAAGGAAAATTCTTTTATGACAAATGTGCAAAAGCCGATGTCAAAAAAGGGCTCTGTATTTGAGTGCACTAGCTTAGTAATTAAGCATTTTGTTCTAGGAAACTGCGTGCAAGTATTAAATGAAACGATCGAAGACATTTAAAAAAAGCAAATGGACATTTGCATTGACAAACAGGTTCTTAAATTATGTTTGGGTGACTCACTGTATAATCAGTTTCCAAACGATTGAAAAATAACACGGAACAAGAAAGTCCGGATTTCCTCATTTTTAAAATTTAGGCCATCTTTTCTCTCTGAGCAAATAGTTACTCTTTCAAATGTCGAACATAGCTTGCGTTAGTTATGCCTTTCGGTGCGAAAAAAAAAAAAAAATTTTTAAATTTAAAACGAGTCTTTAAACAGTGACAGGCTTTCTAGTAGTTCCCCATATATTTTTCAGCACAAGTTGATGTCATTCTTCAAATTTAATTCAAAGATATTTAACTTGGCTACTTTTGACAATGACGCACGTTTTACGTGGCAACACGTCGTACCGCACTTCAAATAAAACTGCGTGGATCTGAATTAATCTTCCCAAAATGACAGCGGTTAATTCATGTTTAGACTAAAGTACCAAATGAAAGGTTGTCGCCGGAAAGTCGCTGCTATTTTCCCTCTTGTAATAAATTATTTAGTTTTAAACTAAAAAGAAACTTTTGCCTATATAGAATCACAATAAGGAAGACAACAAATAGACAATATTTTGCTTGCCATTTGCACTTAGTGGCCATTCCCCCCTTAACCATGCATAGTATTTTGATATCACCAGGCTGTTCTGCTCAACCGTTCGTTATTAAAAGCTGCTAAATGTTCTATGCAGGCGGTCGCCATAAGAGTTTAATTGCGATCGAGGAACGTACTTATGAAAAAGAATATATACATAATATTGTATTTACGTGATAACATGTAATGTCATATAAACCCATTTCTTTGTTGTGCAGTTGGCGGGGAAACAACGAAGTTTTTCATGAATTGCCCCGAAGTGTCTTACGGCGGTGTCTGTTCCATTTTCATTCAAATATCCCGTGCTCATAAAATGAGGATGGTACGATCGGCCACATGTTTAGAAACGAATGCTCTTTAAGATGTGCTTTTTTTTGGCGAGAAAATTTGGAAGGATAGCAGTTAGCAATTGTACTGTACCGGTAATGTGCCTAGTTTGAGATCGTGCTTAAGAAAGGTATTTTAATCCATCGATTTCCTTGAGGAAGGCTTCCAAATGAGCGCAGGTTGCATAGCAACTTAACTTTGTCGGGTCGGGTGTTTTCGAGTCGGACTTTGCACAAGTGAAGATATCTCTTTCCCAACGGCATTGATCAGTTTACTCCGCTAATGGAAAATGGGTTTATGCTCTCGGCTGTGAAAGGGGATAAGTGACTCTGTCCTTGTTGGTAGCTAGATCACACTCTCGTTCGGTTTCTTTTCGAGGATAATTTTTGGTCATAAAATTATCAAAACCGCGAGAAATTACTTTCGTATGTTGAGTTGTCGTAAGAAAAGATAAGCAAAATGTTATCATGTAGGGGTATACGAGAAAATTCGTTTAATGTTCATGATTAACAAAGTGCCAAATTTCATAAGAGCGTATCTCCCTTCAGATATATTCCGGATGAAGTAGAACAGTCATCAGCGCTGAGTTAACGATATTTGTGACAGTTGCCATGAATACCCTCTATTTGCTTCAAATTAAGCAAGACACGTTGCTTTGAATTATAAAGGCCATTTCTTCCTATTCATCTGGCATAATGCTTTTTGAATTTACATAATATATTTCTAACACGAAACTCAGAGTACCTTGCAGTGCTTGGACGCTTTATTCAGAATATCCGTTAAGTATAGCTGTCATTAAATAAAGTCTGTTTTCATTAGAAATAATCAAACGTCAGCCATATCGTAGTAAAACCCACAGTTTACTTTTGAAAAAAACGTCCTTCTGCGTCATACACATCATTTTTTTTTTTATAAATGACACTTTCCCCCGCTGTTCATAACGCATCGTCAAACCAAATTATCTATTTATTTTTTGTAGTTTCTCTGCCTGTCGACATTCGGATGCAATGGAGGTGTTCAATCAGGCTTACGATGAGTTAACTGGTGAAAATTCCTTTAAGGTAAGTAGCTCGTCTAATTATACAAGCAGCTATATACAAATACAGGGACTTGTATTAAAAAAGGATAAAAATAGTTGATTAATTCATCAACCCAGTTTAGACAAGTCTTAATAGGTTCTTATCTCGAGCATCTTTTAGAAGTGGAATTATTTCAAAAGTATATAACGCTAAGTAAGGTTTTGTACAGTGTGAACTGAAGTCCTGCTGTTTTGATTCTTGGGGACTGCAGCTCTTACTGAGGCACAATAGGTCAATGCGGAAACGAATGGTTCCCCGGTTTACGTGCTTCGGAAAAAAAAATAGTTGCTTGTAGGAAAAGTATTAACTATAAAATATTTCTGAAAACACTTCTGCGTCGAAGCATATGCATGTTGCGTATGTAATCCGGAAACAATTTAGTTGAATGTGTTTCTGCCGCAAGGCCTTCAAGTAACGCGCGCGGAACAAGACGTGACGAGTTAGTTCGAGCTGGCGCACGGCGTCAACCGTCTAGGTAATGCTTACAGCTGCTTCGCTTTTATTTCTGAGTTACTGTCGGTTGAACTCCATGGACGCTATAAATTAAGAAGCACATCACGAGTTAAAATAAATTATATTCAGCTTACAACTTGTTTAAAATGCTTAACAGCTCCCAGCGTTTCGTCAGTGACTTGAGTGTCGTTAATATTTATCACGCTCCGTTCTTACAGAATGGAAATTTGTCCCACGGATGTCAAATATTCAGCGGTAAAAGCTCGCCTAAAGACCGTTCCCAGGACAGGAAACTTCTCTTCAAGATATCCTCACTCTTGGACAAGGTGCGCATGTCTCTTTGCTGTCTTGTTGCATTACAAGGCCAGTTTCCCGGAGGACTAAGGCGAGCAGAATTTTCTTACATGAGCTTTCGGCGTGATGCTTGCCTCTGGCAAGCGAGTTTAGCTTGGGACTGGGTCTCCATGATAGCGAGTAAAGACACAGCGGTCGACTGAACATAAAGCGGAAGCAAAAGGCGAGTTAAACGGAGACTGAAATAATAAAAGATAAACCTCCGTTACCTGTTATTTCAAGAAGGGAGAGACTTTAATGGCCGCTATTGATACTTATTGCTTTCCGTGTTCTCACTAGCAATAATTAGCCGTTTGTTTATCCAACAGAAGGAGCTCGACACCACATCGTACCCGGAAAATCTCTTTGAAGAGCGAGAGCTCTCGGATGCCAGCGATATTGATGTCAGTGGTGATCAAGATTATTTGCTGGAGGAGAAGAAATGCAACAAGGTCAGAAGTTATTCTAGACTGTTCGCAGTCTCTGTATTTTTCAACGCACGCAAAAGAAAAAGCGAGCGAAACGAGTTCGAGCACCCTATCGAGTCTCCCGTTTTGCGCTGTCGTCCAGTTCTTGCCCAATTCTATCCGCTCGTTCAGCGATCGAATAAAAATAAGAGAAAAATAGAGGGCTGTGAACAGTCTTAAGTCATTCTAAATGAAGTTCTCTTTCTGGCTTCAATTGGTGATCCTATTTCTTGTCTAATATGCTGTAACGAACATGCTCGGTGATGATGTCAACTTGATTTTTGACGCTGCTTTATTTATTAATTGATTTCGAAACTGCGTCCCTCGCTTAGAATGCGGAAGAGACCGTGTTTACCAGGACTGGCAGTGATGGGAAAGTCAAACTCACGGAAGAAGAAAAGGAAACGTTTGTCTCTGAAGGACTTCCTGTTCCCAACAGAATACCGCTGACAAAGGTGAGTGTTGCGCAAAAAGTCAACTATTTAGGCCGAATTCACGCGAATACGGTTCGGTTCACACTGGGTATGCCGAAATATATAAAATATCATATCAAAAAAATATAACCGAGGAAAGTTGGCCCGAGGTCGGGGCTATACGGAGCGAGCGGAACGAGGTCCATACAAAAACGACCGAGGTCTAATATTCCCCAAAAGGGCTCGAGCAAGCTAGATTAGGTTATTGTATAGCTCTCGAAAACAAAAAACTCACAGCATTTGACCGTTTCCATGGAAACGGCCCGTATAGCAATATCCTGGCCTAGAAAGAACCAGTCGAAACGCTCCTGGATTTACCTCAAGATCTAGACTACCTTGCCGTATAATAAAACTGGAATATTCTTTCTGAAACCGGCCGTTTTTCCGAAGACACATCTACATCTTTGAATTGAACACCGTTGGATACTCCAAGTGTGCGTCACGTTTTGCCTGCTCCTGTGCTGGAGTACTTTATTCGACTTCAATACTTCGCATTTTTGCTTAGTTGTGTGCCCCTGAGTGGGGGATAGGGCCGGATACTTCGCAGTTACACGCTTGTTAACTGAATCCTGAATACTCAGGTGTACCCGCGTATGGCATGCGCCTTGAATACTCTAGGATTTCATGCATTCGAGGTTAGAATGCTCTAGAGTGTTTTCGTATTGGCGCAGTACCTCTTTACCCCGTCCCACTCTATCCCAGACATATTTTCAGCGTGTGCGAAAATCGTTTATCAGTTAAAAAAAAATTACGGCAAAAGAGAATAAAACAAATAATTCAATAAAAAAAACCTCAAAATAAAAGAGAGCTTCGTATAATCTCACTGTAACGATGATGTTAATTGTATTTTCTGTTGTTAGGCAGAGGAAAGAGCTCTTAAAAGAATTCGACGTAAAATAAAGAATAAGGTAAGTGATTATGCGGGCACGCAAACGTATTTTTGGAGATTTACACCTGTACACGAAATTTAAGGCTGATAAACTCACGCTCATTGTTACTGGCAATCCAAATATCTCTTTTTTTTTTCTTTAATGTTCTAGCTCTCCGCACAAGAAAGTCGACGAAAGAAGAAAGAGTATGTCGAGGGCTTAGAGAAAAGGTGAGTTGTCAGATTAATATGTTAATAACATCTACTGACTTAAGTTCTCATTTAGTGATTAAATAGTGAGATGTCGAACAACAGACCATGCACAACCAGCTGGAGAGTTCATTCGTAAAAGAGCTATTTTTTCAAGGGTGATCATTACTTTAAGCTGGTTCACGCTCCGGGGGATGGGCACCTTTCATTAGCTGTACGTTATCCTCGTTATGTAATTTTCTTGGCACTAAATTTCATTTTCACTCACGTGTGCGCCACGTGGAAACTTACTTTATAATGATTACGTTGCTTATTCAGGGACAAAATCAAAACGGAATTATTTTATCTTGCCTTACGCGAGTTTTCTCGCACTATGATGGCCAGACCGAATGGAATTTAGTTTTAAAACAGATATCCAATTGAACATGTTGCATTTACCATTGCAGACATGGAGTGTTTTCATGGCGGACGGAAGCCATATTTGTGTTCTCTGACAATAGGTAATTTTGCATAAGAAAACAAACTCAAAGAAGTGGAAATTTCATTGTTCGGGAACACCAACATGGCGTCGTGTAACGACTTGTGAAAACGCTCTGTAATTATCTGTTTTTTGCAGTACTGCAACACTAATTTTTTTTTCTTTTTTCCGTTTAGGATGGAAGCGTGTAATTCGGAGAATAACATTCTTAGACAAAAAGTAGATTCACTAGAATCGACTGTAAGGTAATGACACCATTAACTGTAGGTACATGCCCTAAACTGCGATAAGCATCTTATTTCTCCTCAAAAAATCATTACAAGTCAATCAGTCGGTCAAGGAGAATATAGAAGTCACATACAAGGAGAAAACGTTTTCAAGTTGCTTTCAAAATTGATCAGCTTTTGCTAAAAGAGTTGTATATGGACTGAGCACTGAGAAAAAGGATTAGATGTTGACATTGTAGTTTGAAAATGATATTTCCTTGGTCTCTTGGTCTGTCAAAACTTGGCATCGGCCTGCATGAGGCTCTACACTGTTTCGGTTTGTGTCACTTTAAACTGTTGTTTGGGCACAGTAGTTTGACGCGTTTGTTGACTATTGCCCTCTAATTACCACTTGCGAAATCGACACTGCGGATTATTTTTGGCTCCGAGTGGGACTCTGACTGGTCGTAAAGGGTGAAAACTTAGGGAAAATAAATTAAATATGAAATAAACATAAAGAATAACTTAAAAGAAACGTTTGGACAATATCCATTTACATTCTGTGCAGTCAACAAGGTCGATAAGAAGGAATTATTTGCCAAACGTGCGAAAACGCTATCACGTTGTGGTCATGTGACCAAATGTTCATGGCACTATCTCAGTAAGCACAAAGCGTTCAAAATAAAGAAAATTCAAAAAACAACAAATGTCACATCTCAGTTATAAGCTCTAGACTAAACTTAAACCACATGTTACAACTGCGAAGCACCGAACGACGCCTTATGCGCCTACTGAGGCGAAGAGAATTGATGATGATGGTCATGATCATGATGAGAGAAGTTAGCTCATCGCATTAAAATTATTATTATTATTTTCTTTCTTTCTTTCATGTTCAGAGCATTGCTGATAGAGCTCAATAGGTTACGGAAGGTTTCTTTGGAGAAGGAGAGCAGAGAAACGACACACTCTCAAATGAAGAGTAAAGGGACGCAGACAGGAACTTGCTTGAAATGGTAAAGAGATATATAAAATACAAATACAAATAGTTCTTCATTTATGGCCGAACATCTGATCGACAGCCCGCTTCCTCACTCACACCATAATTATTAATGAAATTCGTTACGTGGTACTATTTTGGACACCCAAGTTACCGATAACCCAGTCATAGGGAAACATAAAACAACTGAAATCAAATATGTAGAATATTTTGGGTCATATAATTCGTTGTTATTAACTCATTTTGTCTGCTTTAGTTTCATGAAAAGAAATGCTGCCTACAGACAGCAGAACCTTGCTAGATTAGAAAACCTGAAGCAAAACAACAACATCTGCAAGCGGGAACCGGCTTACAGCTTGGCAAGGCTTGAAGCACACTCCTGACTGCCTTCACGGAACCACGTGACATCAACAATGCCAAAATTGGCGGAACAGGCTCAACACAGTCTGTACCGAACAGGATCGAGACAGTCATTATTCCTTACTGGGATGAAAGATGCGATTTTGTTGAGAAGCTCGTAGGAACAAACTAGCGTAAAATTCTTTCGCTGTTTTAGAGGAATTAACTCTAGTACAGAATTCTTTGACGTTAAAGCACTCGCATATTGCTCATTCGTGGTAAAGGTATCATAAAGCTAGGTTTTAAATAGAGAACAAAATGCTGGAGATGATATTACGCTCACTAGCTACAATTAACATTCAAGACAATACTTTAAAATGTGTTGTGATATGAAATACGGAAACATGATCCTTTGAAAATTCTTTTTGTATAAACTCATGTGCCAGATATCATTTTTTCTGTTTTCAGATGTTAAGTATTTATCACTGAATGGTTGTAAATAATTGTAAATCATTTATGACGACCAAATTCGACATTCGTGTAGAAGTGGATAGGTTAGAATTTTTTATCAGTTGAAGAAAAAAGTTTGTAAAAAGAGTAGACTTTAAGAGGCACGTTGCTCGATCATTTGATAGATATGGCAGAAATTTTCTGATCTGCCCTTTTAAGCCCTGTGGGAAAATAATAGAGAAACTGTAGATAGTTAATGAATTCTGTGCGTTTTTTTTTTAAAGCTACCTTGAAAAATAAAATGCAGTGTCAAGGAAAATGTAATTTTTCACAATTTCCTTCAGTGTTTGACATCAGGGGCATGATGAAGCGCCAATTAAACAGAGGCACGGGATATCTTAAACACTCAGCCACAGATACCCGGACGCGAACCCGTACCCGCTCCCGTCCCCTCTGATTAGGGAGAAAATAGGGCCCTTGCTGGTGGAGTATAACAATGCCCTGTTTCGTTGTTCTCTCCTCGCCTTCACAATTTCCCATCGTATGAGACATACTACCGCCCGAGGGTCTTAGCCCGAAAGGGATCTAGAGTTTCGCGCATCTTAGTCTAACCCAGGAAGGCAGCGCTGAAAACAAAGGAAAGTGGAGCCCCGTTAATCCAGCCCCAGACGGTCACCCGTATTCAGGTATTACTGGTCATATTGCTAGCTTTCACTGTCATGCCATCAAAAATAAAGATCGGAACCATTCAACAAATAAAGTCAAGAATCAGGGATATGATAGATAGATGACTGATATATAAGCAACCTGGCCAAGAATTAGGTCTGTGCAGTATTTTTATAGGCTAGTCATTCAGAAAATGGTTTTAACCAAATTTAAAGAGCTTGTATGGAGACACCGTGTCTAGTGTCCTTTGTAGCAGCTTGTGGGGCACCAATATGGTGCTGTAAAGTAATCGGAACATCTGTCGTTCACGGGCGCGGATTCAGGTTAAATGGTGATCGATTTCCGCCGGAAACAACGAGCGCTGAAGGGGGTCTAAGGCCATGCTTCCCCAGGAGATGTTTTGGATTTGCAGTAATTCTCTTTAAGTGCCTACGAAGTAAAAAATAATTCCTGCTTATTTGAAAGGCTTTTTAAAGTAAAGAAGAATGGCGT